CATAAGGGGGGATATGATCTCCGTGTATAATACATAAGGGGGGGATATGATCTCCGTGTATAATACATAAGGGGGGGATATGATCTCCGTGTATAATACATAAGGGGGGGATATGATCTCCGTGTATAATACATAAGGGGGGATATGATCTCCATGTAGGTGGGGGGGATATGATCTCCGTGTATAATACATAAGGTGATCTCCGTGTATTTAAGGGGGGGATATGATCTCCGTGGGGGGGATATGATCTCCGTGTATAATACATAAGGGGGGGATATGATCTCCGTGTATAATACATAAGGGGGGGATATGATCTCCGTGTATAATACATAAGGGGGGAGCTGTCCGTGTGTAATACATAAGGGGGGGATATGATCTCCCACATACATAAGGGGGGATATGATCTCCGTGTATAATTACATAAGGGGGAGATCACCATAAGGGGGGATATATCTCCATGTATAATACCATAAGGGGGGGATATGATCTCCATGTAGGTGTGGAGGAGGTAGGTGATTTGTGTGGGGGGGGTGGTGTGAGTGAGCTGTGTGTTAGGTCCCCACACACAGATCACCTACCTCCTCCCACCTAACACACAGCTCACTCACCCCTTCTCCCCCCACACAGACCACCTCCCTCCCCCCCACACAGATCACCTCCCTCTCCCCCTACATAGATCATCTACCTCCCCCCGACACTTACCTTCCCCCACTCACAAACAGACCAACTACTTCCTCCCTCCAACTCACCAATCACCTACCCCGCTACACACACAGATCACCTACCTCCTTCCTTAAATGTATTGTCTTCAATGAAGAGTCCAAAAATTCATAAATATCCAATGTTCACTGTGATCCACATCAATACACTCCTTAAGTGTTCCTGAAGAAGTCACATGATGTGACGTAACGCGTAGGGCGGAGTCAGGTGATATTGTCACACCCAGACAAGAAGTGATCAGGCAGATTGTAGAGTAATGGTGCAGATCACAGCTCTATACAAGTCTATGGGATTCTATGAAGGAAGCATCATTCCTGGGTGTACCGGGTATTGTGTACATTGTAATGTGAGGGTCAAATCTGAATGTCTTACCACCTGCTGCCCATAATATGTCTATAGACATCCTGGGTAGTGATCTATATCTGGATCCTAGCTGCATCCATGATTCTGGTATCATTTATTAGAGCCAGCAATCAGCTTTACTGTAAAAGTGATCCGAGTGGCTTTACAACCTCCCAATCACCTTTACAGTTCTCAGAACAGATATTCCCCTCCCCCATCTGCCACCATTCTCTGGCTCTCTTCCTCTTCCATCATGGTAGGAACTCGGGTCAGCTGTACATGGAGGAGATGGAGGAACATCTGGTCCCCGATCTCCACTGTTATGAATGAAGCCGGGGCACGGCGAGGATTTCATCACCTCCAGTGTCCGTGCTGTCCGGTACGGCTTGGGAAGCGTATGATCAAACACTATCTGAGCTTGATTAGCTGCTTTTGAAGGGCAGGAGAGGTATCCGGGGTTAATAGACTCTTGAAGCCTCAGTAAAAGAGTACCTGTCACTGCCCTCAGCTATCATAAGAGGTTTTGTTCACCACTTGTGATATCAATAAAGTAAAAAAAAAATAAGTGTGAAAAAAAAGAAATATAAATGTAAACACACATGTAGGTCCTGCACACATACACTGTATTGGCTCCGCCCTCCAAATCATGTGATTCAGGTGTTCCAATCCCCTACATGCCCACAGGTGTATACAATCAAGCCCCTAGGCATGCAGACTGTTTCTACAAACATTGGTGAAAGAATGGGTCGCTCTCAGGAGCTCAGTGGCTCCAAGCGTGGTCCCGTGATAGGTGGCCCCCTGTGCAATAAGTCCATCCGTGACATTTCCTGTCTACTAAATATTCCACGCTCAGCTGTTAGTGGGATTATAACAAAGTGGAAGCAACTGGGAACAACAGCCACTCAGCCACCAAGTGGTAGGCCACGTCACATGACAGGGCGGGGTCAGCGCATGCTGAAGCGCACAGTGCGCAGAAGTCACCAACTGTCTGCAGAGTCAATAGCTAAAGACCTCCAAACTTGGTGTGGCCTTCAGATGAGCCCAACAACAGTGTGTAGAGAGCTTCATGGAATGGGTTTCCATGGCCGAGCAGCTGCATCCAAGCCTTCCATCACCAAGTGCAATGCAAAGCGTTGGATGCCGTGGTGTAAAGCACGCCGCCACTGGACTCTAGAGCAGAGGAGATGTGTTCTCTGGAGTGACCAATCACACTTCTCTGTCTAAATTTGATGGTTGCCAGGAGAACGGTACTTGCCTGACTGCATTGTGCCAAGTGTAAAGTTTGGTGGAGGAGGACTATGGTGTGGAGTTGTTTTTCAGGGGTTGGGCTTGGCCCCCTAGTTCCAGTGAAGGGAGCTCTTAAGGTTACATTTTGGACAATTTCATGCTCCCAACTTTGTGGGAACAGTTTGGTGATGGCCCCTCTCTGTTCCAACATGACTGCACACCAGTGCACAAAGCAAGGTCCATAAAGATATGGAGGAGCCAGTTTGGGGTGGAGAAACTTGACTGTCCTGCACAGAGTCCTCAACCCCATAGAACACCTTTGGGATGAATTAGAGCGGAGACTGCGAGCCAGGCCTCCTCCCCCGACATCAGTGCCAGACCTGACAAATGTGCTTCTGGAAGAATGGTCCAACCTTCCCATAGACACCCTCCTAAACCTTGTGGACGGCCTTCCCAGAAGAGTTGAACTGTTATAGCTGCAAAGGGGTGGGGCCAACTCAACATTGAACCCTACAGACTAAGACTGGGGGGCCATTAAAGGTCATGTGCGTGGAAAGGCCGGCCGACCAATATTGAACCCTACGGACTGAGACTGGGGGGCCATTAAAGGTCATGTGCGTGGAAAGGCCGGCCGACCAATATTGAACCCTACGGACTGAGACTGGGAGGCCATTAAAGGTCATGTGTGTGGAAAGGCTGGCCGACCAATATTGAACCCTACGTACTGAGACTGGGAGGCCATTAAAGGTCATGTGAAAGGCTGGGAAACGGGGACCAATATTGAACCCTATGTACTGAGACTGAGAGGCCATTAAAGGTCATGTGCGTGGGAAAGGCTGGCCGACCAACATTGAACCCTACGGACTGAGACTGGGAGGCCATTAAAGGTCATGTGCGTGGAAAGGCTGGCCGACCAATATTGAACCCTACGGACTGAGACTGGGAGGCCATTAAAGGTCATGTGTGTGGAAAGGCCGGCGGCCCAATGCTTTTGGTGATATAGCGTATGTAGCTGGTGATCGCACCACACGTGTGCGGTATCGCCGCAAACATCAGAGTGAACATAATTCTAGGATCATAATTAACTCTACACTGATAACCTGTAAAGTCTTATAAGGCCTCACCTATGGACATGTTTAGGTACCGTAGTTTGTCGCAATTCCACGGGCACACGCAATTTTAAAACTTTGTGTTTGGCTTTTTTTTTTTTTTTTTTTCTTGACGTAACATCATCTTTTATATTTTGCAGAATTTGGTAACCTAGTGTGTTTTTGTGCTCTAAAATCCATTTGCGTGTATTTTATTTCCTGAAAATTTGCATGTGATAGATGGCTGTGAAAATGTCAAATGACATTTAAAAAAAATTGCAACAGCCACCATTTTGTTCTCCAGAGCCTCTGCTTTCTGAAAATATATTATATCTATTTCTGGGGGGGGGGCGGGGAAATGCTGATTTTTAACATGTATGTGAGAAATGTAAAAATACCCCGGTAGGCAAGCAGTTAGTCTATGGCAGACCCTCTGGGTTGGGTCTACTATGGGTTTCATGAGGGACCTCAGGCTTTTTTTTTTTTTTTTTTTTTCGAGGTACCCCGTTAAAATCTATACCAGACTCAATGGGGGTTATTTGTTAAACCTGGAGAGTGCAAAACTTGGTGCAGCTCTGCGTAGAAATCTGCATTTTTGATTTGACAGATTTGGCTCCCATTGATTTTTTTTTTTTTTTTTAGTTTCCTTGGGGTTCAAATTCGGCATCCAAACCTAAGTTCGGCAAGCTTTTGCTTGACCCAAACCCAGGGCTGCTCACCTCGTCACTAATAGCAACAACCTGCTCGCGGTTCTGTTGTCTTAATTTTTTTTTTTTTTGTTTTTTTTTTCTCATATTATTATTTTGCTTTTTTGGTTATTCCCCAACAGTTAAGTATGGAGAGCGTGGATTCCCAGTTTGGAACGCGCTTTATCCTTTTTTATTGTTTTCTTTTCATACTATTTGTTGTCTTTTTTTAGCCTTTTTTGTTTTTCATTTTTTTTTTTTTTTCCGTGTTTTTATTCTTTTTAGCTATTTGGAGCAGCGCCATCTAGCGTCTGCTCTCCGTACTGCACCCCCTGTATTAATCAGTCCCGTGTCACTTCCTGTCCATGGAACACTTTTCCTGTTTTTGCCCGTTTTAGATCCGATTTCTGCAGGCTGAACAGATAATCTGTCTCCATCCTGAACACACGGCCACCGTAGGGACCGTATGGGATTTTTGCCACTTTAGACCACACGGGTAAGTGAGGTGGAGCTCCTATTCATGGTACGGGGCTCCTGTCCCTGCTATTGACATATCCGTGATCTGTGACCGGCTCTTCCCCCTCGTGAATAATGATCTGGGTGTATAAATATCGCAGGATCTACCTCTCCATGTTGGTTTCCTCTTCATTGCTGGTTATTAAATGGGCCTTAGAATGTTTCCGATATTCTCTCCTAGGAAGGACATTCAGTCCGATCTCCCACCATGTTCCTCTGATACTAGGATAATCCCCTGACTTCTGGTACTAGAAAAACCTAGGCTGATGGTGGGACATAGACTGTTCCTCTTCCCTCGGCATAGTCCTCCCACACCATAGTCCTCCCTCACCATACTCCTCCCTGGGTCCATTGTTTTGACTCAGCTTCTACTTCCTTCGGGTTGAGGAGATAGAGGAGCAAGAGTGTATGATGTTCAGTTCCTGTAAATACTGGCCACTGTCATACCTCCACACTCCTCTCCTGTACATACAGATCACTGTCATACCCCCCACACTCCTCTCCTGTACATACTGATCACTGTCATACCTCCACACTCCTCTCCTGTACATATCGATCACTGTCATACCCCCCACACTCCTCTCCTGTACATACAGATCACTGTCATACCCCCACACTCCTCTCCTGTACATACAGATCACTGTCATACCCCCACACTCCTCTCCTGTACATACAGATCACTGTCATACCCCCCACACTCCTCTCCTGTACATACAGATCACTGTCATACCCCCCACACTCCTCTCCTGTACATACAGATCACTGTCATACCCCCCACACTCCTCTCCTGTACATACAGATCACTGTCATACCCCCCACACTCCTCTCCTGTACATACAGATCACTGTCATACCCCCCACACTCCTCTCCTGTACATACCGATCACTGTCATACCTCCACACTCCTCTCCTGTACATACCGATCACTGTCATACCCCCCACACTCCTCTCCTGTACATACCGATCACTGTCATACCCCCCACACTCCTCTCCTGTACATACCGATCACTGTCATACCCCCCACACTCCTCTCCTGTACATACCGATCACTGTCATACACCCCCCACACTCCTCTCCTGTACATACCGATCACTGTCATACCCCCCACACTCCTCTCCTGTACATACCGATCACTGTCATACCTGAATTTATACCCTTTCTACTTAAATTGTCACCTAAACCACACTCCTCTCCTTACATATTGATCCTGTCAAACATCAATATTTCCTTGGTACATTTGTTTCAATGATAATACTTTTAATCCTTTTATTTCTAGATCAAAACTCACTCTCTGCCTTTCTAACTGCAGCTTAACAATGAGGCGTGCATGCTGTCATACCGCTAATATCCTTTCTGGCTTTTGTCTCTCAGACACACTCCTCTTATTTCAAGATCAAACCTGCTTCATGGACCCCTCTTTATTGTCTGGCTGAACGATGAGCTGTGTCATACTGTCCACTCCCACTGATAAATATTTGTGGCTATTGTCTTTCAGATAACACCCTCTCCTTTGCATTTCAAGATAAAACCTCTATTGCTCCCTCCTCTTGCCCCCCCCTCCTAAATTGTGGCTTAACCAAGCACTTACATGCTTTTTCAGGCACTGTCTTAATATATATCTGATCACTGCACCACACTCCTCTCCTTAGGGCCACTGGATTTTTTTGGGTCCCCAATGGTTGAATGGGATGGACGATTTGTCTTTTTTCAGCCAGACATAATGCAGGTCATCCCAGACTCCTGGGGAGTAAAAACGATCACTGTCATTTTTGTTTTAAAAAATGAAAAATTGGTTATTCAAGTGGCCTGACGTTACCATCAATGTAAAAAAAAATCGGATCCGATTTTCTACCCCCCACCGTCTAGTACATACCGGCAAAAAGTGTCCCTGCCCAGCTCTGCTCCTTTCTTTGACACTGTTCTACCCCCACAGTTCTCTTGTACATTTCATAGAAGTTGCAACAATGTATCTATTTGTTTCCATTTAGGATACAGATGTTTTTATTCGGAAACAAATAGATACCAATGTTTCAACCGCTGTAAATGTGAAGGAACTGTCAGAGACTCCTGTCAGTAAATAGCGGAGCTCTCTGCAGAGACACTTTATGTCACAATGTGGACTGGAATTCTTCTTATTTTCATCCTACTACTTCTTCTTCTTCTTCATCCTCATCCTCTTCTTCTTCTTCTTCATCCTCATCCTCTCCTGTACATCTTCTTCTTCTTCTTCTTCTTCTTTATCCGATCACTGTCCTCCTCTTCTTCTTCTTCTGTCTTCGATTCTTCATACCTCCACCTCTCTCTTCATTCTTCTGTCATCCTCCCACACTCCTCTTCTTCATTCCGATCACTGTCATCCTCACTCCTCTTCTGTCTTGTTCTTCTTCTTCATCCTCATCCTCTTCTTACATACCGATCACTGCATCCTCTCTCTGTTCTTCTTCATCCTCACTCCTCTTCTTCGATCACTCATACCCTCCACCTCTTCTTCTGTCTTCGATCATCATCCTCCACCTCCTCTTCTGTACATACCATCATCATCCTCATCATCCTCTTCTTCTTCGATCACTCATCCTCTTCTTCTGTTCATACCTCACTTCATCCTCATCCTCTCCTTCTTCGATCACTGTCATACCTCCTCATCCTCCTTCTTCTTCTTCATCATCCTCTTCTTCATCCTCATCCTCATCCTCTTCACTGTCATCATCCATCCTCATGTCCTCTCATCATCATCCTCATACCTCTTCTTCATCATCACTCCTCTTCTTCATCATCATCCTCTTCTATTTCCTCATCCTCCTCTTCTTCTTCTCACTTCATACCCCCCACACTCCTCTTCTTCATCCTCATCCTCTTCATTCCCCCTCTCCTCTTCTTCATTCATCCTCTTCTGAATTCTTACCCTCTCTCTTAAATTTCTAAACCATCCTCTATTTCATCGTCTTCCTCTTCCTACTTTTTTTTTCTTTTTGTCTTCCTCTTGCAGGCTTAACAATGCGTGCATGCGCGCTAATATATTTTTTTTATCTCTAAAAAATCAAGGGCCTGATTTGACCCCACTTAATTGTCGGCTGCTGAGCTGAAATCTGTCCAGCCACTGATAAATATTTGTGGCCTATTTTTTTCCATACTTTGACATTTCGAAAACCTCTATTGCCCCTCCTCTTGGCTCCCCCTACCTAAATTGTGGCTTAACCAAGCATCATGCTTTTTCAGGCACTCTTAACGATCGTAAACCCTCTTTAGGGCTACTGTATTTTTTTTCGGCCGAAAAATCGGTTGAATTTTGGACTTTTGTCTATGGCCTGCCATAACTATGTATGTAACCCCCTAAGCTCTACAGACAACATGCATTTTCCACATTTGTCAGTAAACAGTGTGACGGGAGTCACTTTGGGTGGGGGGCCCATGGAACCCAGCTCACTTTGGAGAGGTGGAAGACCCCTGTCTCAGCTCCCCATATCCCTTTTATGTGTAAATCACCCTGTGCATGTTAGGGGTACAGGGTGATCTGTCCTAATATTGTGTAGACATGTTTAGGAGATAGGTGGGGTGGAGGTTGTTGATTGTTTAACTACCTGCCGACCGCAGATAGCCGAATGACGGCTGCACTGCGGCCGGCCAGTTCTGGGTGGACGTCATATGACGTCCACCCAGAACGCGCTCTCCTGGGGAGCGCACCCGGCGATCTCCGTGATCGCTGTGTCCTACGGACACAGCTGATCACGTGACGTGGTAAAAGGCCAATCACAGCGGCTTTTACCACGTGAGCCGTGTCCAATGACACGCTGATCAGAGGGTAATGCAAATGCTGGTTCTCGGCTGCACTTTCCTCATGCTGTCAGATCGTGAGGAAAGTACTGCCGAAAACCGGCATTTGTCAGAGCGGGGATCGGCACCGATCATCCGGGTCACTGATCATCAGTGCCCCCGATGATCGGTGCTCAGCAGTGCCACACACAAGTTCCGCCTAGCAGTGCGCCCACCTGTGCCCAGCAGTGTCACCACCTGTGCCCAGTAGTGCCACCTATCTGTGCCCATCAGTGCAGCCCAGCAGTGCTGCCAGTCAGTGCCCAGCAGTGATGTCAGTCAGTGACACCTATCAGTGCTGTCTATCAGTACCCATTATCAGTGTCGCCTATCAGTGCCACCAATCAGTGCCGCATATCCGTGACACCTCATTAGTGCCACCTCAGTGCCACCTATCCGTGCCACCTCAGTGCCGCCTATCAGTGCCGCCCATCAGTGCCCATCAGTGCTGCCTCATCAACGCACATCAGTGAAGGAGAAAAATTACCTGTTTGAAAAAATTTATAATAGAAACAAAGAAACTTTTTTTTTTTTTTCAAATTTTTTTGCACTTTTGTTGTTTATAGCACAAAAAGTAAAGCGCCCAGTGGCGATTAAATACCACCAAAAGAAAGCTCTATTTGTGAGAAAAAAATGATAAAAATTTGGGTACATGGGTACAATCTTGCATGACCGCGCAATTGTCAATCAAAGTGCGGCAGCGCTGAAAGCTGAAAACTGGCCCGGTAAAGAAGGGGGTATAAGTGCCCGGTAGGCAAGGGGTTAATGTTATGTGGCTTATTCCCATTGTTCTATTGTTTGTCTGGCTTGGGAGCAAACTAGTATGGGATGTATGTGTTTATGTGTATTAGCTTAGTGGGGGGGGGGGGGGGGGGGGGGGGGGGGGGTCTCCAGCAGATGGGACTGTCTGCTGATGTGAAGTTTGAATGCCTGTGTGTCTCTTGTTACTAAATGTAGATCCCCCCGCCCTGTGTCATTATGCAGGGAGGGGGGATTGCCCCCTGAGTGTATATATCTTGTATCTGTGTTCAAATAAAGCTACAGCAGGTCGGACGCCTCACCGCCGGCGCCACGAGGGGCCCCGGCGGCCATCTTTGATTTTCATTTGGTCAGTATACTTTTGCATGTCAGTTTTCCTGCTATCCTGTACCTCTAATAAAGATACCTGAGGATATTACACTATGTGGCCCTTTCTATTTATTTGAGCATTGGTGAAAACCGGCCAAATCTACGGAAAAGCTACATCTATTTGGATACCAGGCCCTGAGGGATATGCTGACCAGATCTGACCAGACCAGGATGAGGATACAGGAGGTCCAGTGATATTTTACACAAATGCGCATAAAGATTGCGTATCTGGTGAGTGCGCAGTCTTCATATTTTAGCACCTGTTGGTCCTTCATATAGGACGTTTGAAGATCATCCCGGATCTCAAGAGCACTCCTTCATTGGACTGTTTCACTCTCCTCACTTTACGGCCACCATTTAGTGGCGTTATTAATTTCAGTCACTGTTTATCACTATTGTGTACCATTAGTGGTTTATTTATTATTGTGTCTAGTTATATAGCGCTGCACCTCCTCTTTCACATTTACCTCCTGGTTTACTTCCAATCTGGTGTCGCCTGGGTCTTGGGGTAACCATAGCCAGATTCACTGGTCTCGTGTTCCAGACCCTGAGAGTTACCCAGTCATGGGTGTCTGGGGTCCGTTACAAACAGTCCTTTGAGCTGGTTTTTAGTTTTTTTTTTTTTTGGGGGGGGGGGGGTTTATGAAGGGGTTAACAACTTGGATGGGGTCTAGGGGTATATGGGATGCCCAAGGAACTGTAAACTTGGGGACAATCTTCTTAGCAACCATACTGTACAAGAAAAAAAAAGGATCAAAAATAACACTGTCTCTTTAAGGAGCACTGAAGTCCCCTTGGTGTATCTCCTCAGACCCCAATTAAATCCTCCTGTTCACCCAGCTGCACTGAGGGTATCCCTGGGTAATGGATTTCAAGATCTAGCAATGAAGTAGTCTCAGATGAGAACTAGTTGGGTTATGTACTTGACCACCCTCTCCCTTTATCTGGCCCAGGGGTGTAGATATATGCACACTGTCCTTTCCTGTAAGCGCGGTGGGTTGGTAGTTGTTTTTCAAGCCTTTTGCTGGGATGGCTCCTTCCATGCCGCTCAGGATGTCTCCCAAAGACAGTGGTACAGGGGAGATCCTTCCATCCAGCAACCAGTCTGAAGGTAGGTTCCCCTCCCTGGGGCCCCCTCCCAGGCTCCACACTCCAGCTTTCCTCTCAGTCCATCTTTCTCCTAGCTCTGCACATCTGCTCCCC